TGCTTTTATAGTTTCCAAGTTCCTATAGATATTTCTACACATTTGTGTCTTAATGCAACATTTACACTGTGTATTCAATTTATCTTTAACTTTTATAACTATTACCAAGTGTTTATTCTCCATCTCTTCAATAATCCTCATATTTGCATGTCAATGTCACACAATGTCAGCTCCATCATTCTGAAATTTAACACATTGGTGATGATCATTGACTTTGACCACTGATATTAATATTTATTTAGATCAGGAATACAATATACCTTTCAATCTCACTGTATTCTCTATATCTAGTTGTTATAAGAGGCTATCACCTAAATTAATTTTATTCCTTTTTGTCTGAATAAGCCATCTCCATTACCTGAATCTTTATTTGACCATCAAAGATTTCTATCTTGTATGTCATATGGTTAGCCGTTCTGGAATCCAACATACATATCATAACTTACATATTTGTATTGCTGCTTCAATTTTTTCTCGCTATAAAATATAATTCTTGGCATCTCATAGCTCTACGGTGGTGATATTCCATGAGTCCAATATTTTTCTACTGTTGCACATGCCTGTTTATTTCAACAGAATATTGTCTTTTCACAACCAAGCTCTGCTATCACTAATAAAAGGTGGAAAAACAATGGCTCATAACTTACACTATTTAATTACAACTGAAGGATATGTTAATACAAAGACTTACTTACATTCTTTTGTGTGATGCAGGTACACCTACATGCATACAACAATGCTTCCAGAGTTTGTTTGCAATTTTTTCTCATTTCCTATGTACTCTCCTGTTCACTTGGAGAAAAATTAACAAATCATTTAATTTCTGTAATTAATTTATGAACTTTTATAGTTGCCTGGTAAAGGCGTACCTTTGCATATTTGTCGTCTGCCACGTAAAGAAATAAATGCTGACTGTCTAATTAAAACCACTGTTTGGGTTGAATTTATTAAAGAATGTAGAAAACTTTATGGGATTCTTAAGTGAATAAAAAGAAGGGAAGAGAATATGTGTTAGTTTTTTATATCGTTTTATTGTTTTATTTATTTCGTATGCCACATCACGTGGATTTAGGCGACCTGTTTGAATTCTTGCCGTACATATCAATAGTTTTTCATTAATTACTATTTTCTGCGTAATCAATTTATGAACTTCATGCAAGCATTATATAAACAATATCTTAGGACATATTCACATATCACTTTTTGTTCACATTTTGCTTCTAGTTTCGTTTAGTATTAAATATTTTCACGGAAGATCGTGACGGTCGTTGTTACAAAATCATGTACGCCATTAAACAATAATTAATAACTAAGCAACTAGCGTTACATTCTTTACGAAAATTGGATAATAATGTTGCCTAAAGTTCCAGCTTTGCAATGCAATTATAAAATTACATAAATTAATCACGGAAATTGAGTAATTCGTTAACATTTCACTGTCGGAGCCCTTTTTTCCTTCTCTGTCCTTGTCTGTCACTTGACCAGCTCTTCGATGACCTCGCCTATTCTGTGTTCCTATTATTTTTCTGAATTTCAGGTCCAAAATCATAAATGGTGCTGATCGCAGGCGGTAAAATTTTTCATCTTAATAGACAATACAAATTTCACATCTTAATAAATTAATTCCGCAGTAGGAAATTAATAAATTTCCATGTTTCTATAATTAATTTATAGCTGCACAGCAAAGTTGGAATTATAGCAATATTCTTATACAATGTTTAATTTAATAATTAATACTTACATGAGCGATAGGTTTTGTATTTCCTGTATCTAATGATTATTTATATTTTCATTTCCTTTCTGCAGTAAATAAGATTGCTATAGAAAACTGTTTTCCTTGCATAATATTCTTATTATTTTGTAATAAATATATACTTACATAAAAAAGCGTAAAAAATAAATCTTTTTAAGAAATTTTATTTACAATTGTTTATTTACAATGTTTTCATAGACGAAAAATGAATACAAAATAAAAAATAGATTGAAAAAACTACCAACTATGGACGGGAAATCGAACTCCGGTCTTCCAGTATAAGAATTCTCGACTGTCGCGATTAAGTCACAACTTCACTTGAAAACTAATGGCAATAAATCTATAATTAGGAAAGTAATAAAACTTTTATCGTAAATACCTCAAAAACTATTAAGTAGTTGCAGCTATAATAATATATTTTCTTAAACTATATGACGATATTTACAAACTTGCAAAATTTCAACTAAATTAGTGACCCGAAGGACTTGCACTCTCCTTGTAAGAATAATGTCAAATATGTATTTCGCGCGCATCTTTTTATTTGATATCGGCGGAAATAAATACGTATTCAGGATTTTCACGAGTGCTATGAAGAAGTTCGAAGTAAAGAAAAGAAGTTATTAATACAAACATTATAGCCAGAATAAGGGGAGGACATCGCAAATATGATAATCACCTATCTATCTTAAAGTGAACTACTGTCGGTGACTCACATGCTTTATAGTTTCTCTGATCATCCATTATGTCATAGAACGAATGATTTGAAACGGCGGGTAACTGGTTGTAGTTTATTACTTTAGTAGCAAGCATATTATGCGGTTATACTAATGTATAAGTAGGTAGGCCCAAGACAAACTATTTTCGTGTTTTTCTAAAGCTGGTAACTATACGCGATAGCTTACACTTCAGATTTAGAATTGAGAGAAAAAATTTCAAATGAAAATACTTATTCAATTTATTTTACAAATTTTTATGTTGTATTTTTCCTCTCAATTTTATCAAAAAAATGATAAACAATTTCTATGTCGTTCAAATTCATGATGACATAAAAATATGTTAGGGATTGAATCTACAATATACGTAATCTAAGCAATACCAATTTTACTTGGGCATAACTTTATGCACACGTAAATTAAATTTGTAATTTTTTTCGTATTTTAGTTATATCACTATATTTTAAATTAAAAGTCAATTAAAAGTGTAAGTATTTTTCATATAATATCTAATGTTAAAAATTGGAAAAACATTTAGGTTATTAGGTTTAAATAACCTTCTATAGTACACGTCGATGAAGTATGGTTGTTATTAATAACTATAGCATAAAATAAAAATTATTTTTTTCTAAAATTTTCTTATATCATTATAAATAAAATAAAATTTATACAGGAACCTTTAATTAGAATGAGTGTCCAAAAGCGAAAAAAAAACTACTTTCAGAGTCATGAAAGTGATCAAAAGAAACGAAAACAATTCAATTTGGAACCAGGTATGAAAGGTTTCTTGTGCACATGTAATTTTTCTGAGAAAGAATGTGTACGTGATGCTTACAAATTATTTAATGAATTTGCTGATGAGATTTATGGACCAGATACCATAAAGGTATGGTAACATTTGACAACGATATAAACATGTACAAAGGATATCAAATTTTTTTTTGTTCAAGGACTTTGCTAATGAGAATACCAACGTATCTGTAACAGAAAAAGATAATTCCAGTAATGAAACAAAACACATTGATAATGAAGATGATATTTCAGTTGCTTTACATAAAGAAATTAATGAATTAAAAGCAGAATATTCAAAACCAGTAAATGCTAGAAGATTCCAGGTTAATTTTTCAAATATATTTTTATGTTTTTAGAAAGTTAAATGTTTTGAAATATTTATCAGTGTTCTTTTAGGTAGTTAATACTGGTGTAAAAAATGTAGTTTTCATAAGAAGTACTTTGACAGATCCATTAGAATTAGTTACTAAAATCATCACTGATTTATATAATACAAAACAACAACGTACAAGATATCTATTAAGATTACTTCCAATTGAAGTTGTATGCAAAGCAAACATGAATGATATCAAATCAAAAGCAGATGTAATGCTTGAGAAATATTTTGCACAAGAACCAAAAACATTTAGTATTGTATTTAAGTATGTTTCTTAATATGTCAGCTATAATTTTATTAAGCTTTTATGCATATATATAAATATCAAATTAATTTAATTGCAGTCGTCATTGTAATAGTAATATACACAAAGATGAAGTAATTGAAGATTTAGCAGAAATAATAAACAAAAAAAATCCTGGAAATAAAGCAGATCTGAAAAATCCAGAACTTGCTGTAATAGTTGAAATGATACGTGGTGTTTGTCTTATGTCTGTTGCTCCAAATTATTATAAATTTAAAAAATATAATTTACTAGAAATATGCAGTGTAAAAGAACCTACAAGTGAAATGAAACAGGAAGGAGAAAATATTTCTTCTGAACAAAAGAAAGAAACAAAGATGAGTGAAACACATGTAACAGAAGTAAACGACTAGAAATAGCTCATAACAACAAAAAATCAAGTAACTAATGTCTATATTATTAGCATTGTATTATAAATTTCCTTTTAATTTATATTAATAAATAAATTAATAATACTACACTGCATTTGTTAATAATATTTTATATTGTTTGTAAAATTTAATGAAATCTTTTTACTTTCACTTTATGTGAAGCAAAAAATAATGTTACGTATTTAAAAATGTATATGTAATATATAACACGTATATTAATAAACGATTTTTATTATAAGCTTTTCATTTTTCATGTTGAAACCTATATTAAGTGAAAAGTATTAAAATTAAAAACTATTTTTCAAGATTTTAGTTCAAAAATTACATTTTAAAATTAAATATAAATATGTTACATGAAATGTACTTTTACAAGGTTCCATGGTGTAATGGTTAGCACTCTGGACTCTGAATCCAGCGATCCGAGTTCAAATCTCGGTGGGACCTTTCGAGTTTTTTATACATTATCATATTTTTTGTTTTATGCCAAACATTAAAATACTTATTGTACTCGATTTCATCCGTATTAGTAAATTTTATATTGTTTAAAATTATTAACACTAAATATTATGAGCAAGTAATATTAATAATTTAACAAAACAAACAATATATATATATAATTAAATTAATAACATTTATGGTTATATTTTTTAAATACTTAATTTTATATGTAATAAAAAAAAGTATTATTAGTTTTTAAAAACGACATAATATTTAAAATTAGATAGGGAAGTTTCACAATGCGCCTTCAAAAAGAATACACTTATTGACGCATTTTCAACAGATGATAAACTTTAGTTCGCATTTAAAGATATTAGCTTTGTGAAATAATGTCATGAATATTTGACGTCATTTTTTCAAAATTGTTACCTCGATTAGTATTGATAGTATACTGGACATTTGTGGTAAAAGCAAAATATAAATATGTCAGCACGTAAAAACGTTCAAAGTGGATTTCAACCGGCAAGTTCAAGTATAAATTACTTTATCTGCATCTTGTTACAGTAATGTATTTAAATCTAACCTACTTTACATTATAGGATTCCGATGTTTATATTACATTCGAAGATCAACAAAAAATTAACAAATTTGCACGGCAAAATGCTAAAATGGATGACTTGAAAATAGAATTAAAAATTAAACAGGTATTAATAAATTTATGGTATATCGTTCATTCGTATTACTTATGACTTTATTTGGACATGTATAATTTTACATATTTTGATCTAATTTTTATAGAACGAATTAAAAAACTTAGAAGACGCATGTGATGAAATAGCTCTTTTTGATGAAGATGCAAAAATTCCATATTACATTGGTGAAATATTTATTTATGAAGACTTAGAAAAAACACAGGTATAAAATTCATCAATAAATCTTATATACATTTTGAGATAAAAATTACCATCATCTTCGTACAGAATTATAAGGTATTTAATATTCTCTTTTGATTACCTTTTGTTCATATTTTTAGAATTACTTAGATGAAGTTAAAGAAAAGAAGAAACAGGAAATTTCAAATCTGGAAAGCAAATATGTTGATTTAAAGCAACTCATAAATGATTTAAAAGTACAACTGTATGCAACATTTGGTAATCGTATAAATTTAGAAGCAGATGAAGATTAATATGATTAATTTAGACAAATATGCATGTGACATTTTTATAATGTGAAATAAAACTTTTGTACCATTGCTTCATGTTATTTAATGCATATAATGCATATTATGTCAAATTTATCCATTTCTAACATAAGATATGGAAATGATAAGTGTATCCACATGTTTAATTGTTTTTATGTGATAAGCTATTAATAAATTAAACACATTTCTTTCATATAATGTTTTTTAATATTGCTTTTACCTTTAGATGATACCAATTTCATTGCTATGGTATAATTATTCTCATAAAAATTTTAACATTACTTATAAGAGAAATAAAAATAACTTTTAACATATGTTAAGCTTTAATAATTACACAAACATTAAACTTCAATTTGTTTATCAATATTAGCTTTCATATAGTACATACATATGGCTAATTAAAGATTGTATTTTAACTTCACTACTCTAGTAACTTTATACTTGGATTGGTGCCAAATTGTTCTCATTATAAAGTGTTCGTGCAACATAACTGAAAAAAAAAAAACGATTTCCTATGTCTATACTGATTAAATAACTGAAAACTTCATGTTTTTATAACTTTTATTTGCTTATCTAATGTTTTAATGGTTTTATATATTTTTTACAAATAGTATTTAATAAATATAGCAATATTTATATAAAGAATATTAAATAATAATAATAAAAAAATTGTGTGAACATCACACATATAAATATTACAATATATTATAGCATATTAACTTGCTCAAAAAATTCAATTGAATCATTGAAATTTTGTGCTTATCTCTTTTACAGACAAAAATGGAAAAATAATTAAAATACTGCTAAAGTATTATATGAAGTATTAATGTGTTTTGTAATTCTTAGATAGTATATAATTTATTTAATTTAATATATGATATAGAACTTGGTTACATAGTCATATAGTTTCTGCTTCCCTCTATCAACTTACATGAGGTAATTTTAGTTTCACCTCTCAGTTTTGCTTCAGCCAGTACATAGTTAACTACAGTTCATTTAGTACTTTTTCATCTATTGCACAAAAGGTATAAGAATAATAAGGTTTTTGTATATGTTTCCTCTTAAACTGAAATATTTAATACATTTGCATAAAACATTTATATAATAAATTAGTAAGATTTACTAAGTTTTTGTCTGTATATATAATTAATTAGTTTGATGTTATATTTAAAATATTATTAAAATTAAAATTTAATATTTATAAAATGTTTATGTAGTAAAATCCTTTTAGAGTGATATGGATATAGCAAAAGAATTAATATTAAGTTTGAAACAAAATAATAAATCACATGCAGGATATGGCTTGCAAAAAGAAAGTGAAGCTCTCATTGGTCATATTTTACAAAATATGATAAAATCCCAGTTACCAGAATTAATTCCTGAAGTGAAAAATGAAGAAGATTCTATTCACTATAGAGAGGAAGGTAATAAATATTTTTCAAATATTATAATGAAATATAAATATTTTTTTTCAGTTATTACAGTTAAAAAATCCTAGGAAATCAACATTTTGTAATGGGTGATGATAATGAAGCTATAAAATATTATACAATGAGTTTGGCATATGCAAATAATAATGACCTTATGTCGTATGCTTATGCTAATCGGTCTGCTGCTTTGTACAGAAAACAAATGTTTAAGGAATGCTTAATAGATATTGATGCTGCTTTAAGTTTTGGATATCCAGAAGAAAAAAGAGAAAAATTAAAAGAACGAGGAGCTAAGGCTATTGAAGAAATTAAAAAACAATTACAGTTTACAAAAAATGATCACATTGATACAGAAGAATTCATGAATATGTGTTTATCAAAAAAAAAAGATGATGTACCTACAGTTGTAAGGTATAAAAATGGAGGAGTGAAACTTTCAAACAGCATAAATAAGAATTTTAATGAAAAGACAGATTCAAATAATTGCATTGAAATACCTAAAGATAATGATGAAGAAAAGCAGCCAAGATATTTAGCAGATGAAGGTCCTCTAGAGTTAGCTAATGGTCCTAGTAAAGAGGCTCCTGCTGTTAGTGATGGAATCAATATTTCCTTTTCTACAAAATATGGACGTCATTTAATAGCTACAAAAGAATTTAAACCAGGAGATATAGTTACTATTGAAAATCCATATGCATACGTTATTTATACACAAAGGTAGACAATCTATTAATATTAATAAATATTAGTATATATAAATATGGTAAATTACAGATATTATACACATTGTCATCACTGTTTATCAAAAAGTTATAATTTAATTCCTTGTCCATATTGCCCTGTGGCCCAATACTGTTCAGAAAAGTGTAGAAAATTAGCTTGGGAAATGGCTCATCAAATAGAATGTCCCATTATGGCATTAATAGAAAACTTACTTAATGTTGATAAGGATAAGATACGAATGCTTACCAAAATTATTAGGTTTTTGATTGTAGTAACAGCAAAGGGTAAGAAGATTGATGAACTACGTGTGGACATGAAACTAGCTGAATCTAATCCAGGTAAGGAATAGCATTTAAGTTTTCTTGCTAAAATAGAAAATATGAGATAACATTTGAGCTGTTAAGAAGATAAAAAATTTATAAATGAAAACATTATAATAAATATATAATTATAACATACTGTTTATGACTAGATATTATAGAATATTTTTCTTTTGCAGATAATAGAACTGCAGGATTTACAGATGAAGGCATGCTGGATAGTACTAGTGCACGATCTGCTTTGAGTCTTGCTACCAATATGACAACGAGACCACTCATTGGAATCAGTGCTTTTGCTTGCATCTCGGCTCTTGCAGTTATCCTCTTAGCCACGCAGACTAATTTCTTCTGTAATAAATATGAAGTGGACCAATTAAAAGATATTAGCAATTATCCAGATATCAAATTCTGTGGCAGCCTTATGTTTCGTGCCTGTGTTATAATGTCTTCTAATTGTTTTTCAGTAATTTATTTAATAGATAATACATAATATTACAATACATAATTAGAATTATTAAATAAAAAATTCACTAAAATAAAAGACATAAATTATTCTAAAGCAGTTTTAGATTATATTTAATTCATTTTTTTTAGGTGCAACAAGAGCCAGGTGTTAAAACAGGTTCAGGATTATATGTAACACATAGCTTATATAATCATTCTTGTGCACCAAATACATTTCGTCATTTTGAGGGATTGACAATGATTACTCGCGCTCTAAAACCAATATATCCTGGAGATCAAATATTCACAAGTTATGGAGCTGCATATGCATATACGACAAAATCTGAAAGAAGAGAAAAAATAATGCAAGACTATTTCTTTGAATGCGATTGCATCGCGTGTACATTTGACTGGCCTTCATATAATGAAATTTTAAAAAATCACATCGGTTCTATTAGCAAGAACAAAGAACTTGTTGAAAAATTGAAACCTTATAAACAAAGATTGGTCAAAAATATATATGACATTAATGCAGTAAAATCAGTTCTTAGTATATTATATATGGAGGTATCCCAGCCATGTGAAGAAATCGTACATGCGGAACAATACCTGAAGAGTTATTATTTAGGTAAATTTAAGTAAATTTAGAGTGAATTTGCTTATATTGATTTAAATTTATAGCTATGCTTACCTGCGAGTTCTTAACACCATGCTTACTTACATCCTGCAAATCACAATTTATTTAAATAGTTCACTTTGTGGTACACTTATTTCTTGCTTATTAATCTAATAAAGCTGTCTTTTAACCCATAGCTTAAATTGTTTTATGAAAATTATATATTAATTACTTGGCTGCAAGGGTATGTAAAAAATTAATGTATTAGATATTTGAAATTAGAATTCAATTTCAAAGACATATTACTATTTTCTTGTTTTTAGATCCATAAGAGAGGCATCAACATTGTTCTACATTATGAAATATTGTATTAATGAAAGACATGAAATATTCCTAAAAACATTTTATTGAAGTTGTACATGATATTACCTAATTCCTAAAAAAAATGTGCATAGTTTCTTGTACACAATACATTTGTGTAAAAACTCAAACTAATTGAAATGTATGTAATAATACAAATTTGAAAAACATGTAACACTGCAAATGAAGTTGACGAATAAGTAGAATTAAAAATCTGCACCATAATAGGCGAATTTTCAATAATGCAATAGAAAAATTGATACATAATGTATCTTATAGAATTTATTATAAAAATCAAATGCTTTATAATTATATATATAGTATATTTTTACATTAGAATAAAGCATATGAGGTTTGTAAATTTGCCTAAATGGTTCCTTTTTTTTATTAATCTCAATTGAAGACATAATTGTTATCACCTTATGAAACTATCAAAAACTATAAAAGCAATAGAAGCAATCATGGCAATTCATTAAAATTACAATGTAATAACTTCTACATGTAAAGCCAAGGATAATGAAATATTTAATCAAATTGTTGATTATTAAGCCAATATGTTACATATTGAAATATTTTTATCATAAGAAACTATTTAATTATCAATAAAGTATAGAATACGATTATACCTTAAACTTGTTAATATTCAAGGTGTATTCAAACCTTGTATGGATTTATAGCAAAACAAGAGATGTAAAAGAAATATAGAACTCACAATCAAAATTCATTACATTCTTCCAATATTCAATTTCTCCATCATTTACATTATATGAAATGTATTTAACTAAAATATTCCTTTCCTAAGTATGAAAAGATTAAACAAATGTATAAACAAGTATTGATATACTATCTTTATAAATCATGCAAATAACGTTTATAGAACTTACAAACCATTATAAATTCTATATTTAAAATATATCTTTTTGATATACGTAAAAGCATGTAAACACTTTATCAGAGGCAAATATCACAATTATTTGTTGAATATAATTCTACCAGTATTCTCATTTGTTATCAAATATCATAAAATTTTCTCTGCATTAAACCAAATGTAACTATTTGCCAGAGAGTGTATGGATATGAAAAAAATAAAGGAGATCCAAACCTCCAATTATTCATTATATGATAAATAAAATTTAAATGAATTAAAATCGGCCGATATTCGAAAAAGCAGCAAACAGAGGTGTTGTAGTTGTAGTCGGTTGCTGATCGCCGATGCTTTTGAGTAAATTGCCTTGCAACAGACTGTCAAGTGCCTTTTGAACTGTTGGATCGTTTAGCAGAGGTGATGGTGAAACTCCGGTAGAAGTAGTAGTAGTAGTTGTGGATGCTGTTGTCGCAGTTGATGCTGCTGGCATAATATGATGTACTCATGAAGTTAGCAGTTGTAATACCAGCAATATATATATTCGAAGTTCGTTCGCTTTGATCACTGGATTGTATGGTAAGCGACACAGTAACACTACACGCACGAAGAACTTGATTAGAAACCCAAAGCGTACGAAGTTCGTTTGTGTTTTTCGATCACTCGTGTTCAATCTTTACATTAAAATTTTACCTGAAATTATTTGTCTAAAAAGCTTCTTAGACAAAATTTGTGTTTTTTTTTTTTTCAACATCGAATTACTTTTAAATTTCCCTTTAGTAATTTATATTCGCGATTAAAAATTACATTTTCTTTGGGTATGTTCATGAAAGAAACATAAACAATTCCAAAATGAAAAATAAGAAATAGGTGATCTAAAATCCATCAGATACACCTATAACGACCTTTCTAAAAGTGCAAAAGAATGCAACAGGTCTGCTTTTTCACGCTAAAAACGCGATGTAGTTTCTACTTTTTAACATTGTTCTTTTTGCATAAAGAATAAACCAATAATAGCCTTCTTACAGCAAATGAAAGTATATACATGTTATGTACTGTAATAAAAACTCATATGACTACGTGTATGATATGTATATCTTTTTAATTTCTTACCAAATTTTTTTATGATTTAATTATTTCAGAAATTCACTGCAATGAAAATTGATAACTAACTTTTATAAACTCAAAATCTATTATACCTTTATAAAATGTATATGTTAATTTATGAATAATGTTACGGTAATAGAAATTTTATATAAAATTGCTGAATATTTAACATTATGTACATTTTGTTTTAATTTAAGTAACAAAATTGTATAAATTTTACCTGTTCCCCAAGTAGCTGGTGGAACGGGTGCTGGTGTTGAAGTTGGAGCTGGTACTGGACTAGGTGTTGGAGCAGATGAAGTTGTTTTATTACTATTTAGGATATTAAGTATCCTTGATTGTAATTCGGCTTGTTTCGGATCATTGACTGTTATCGTCGTCGTCGTTGTTGGTAAATCTTTTACATCTCCCAATTCGACTTGTACTTGTTCTTCGCGTTTAATTTCAAGATATTTTATAACACGATCGTATTGTAATACTGTTAGCTGATGATTATCAGCCAGCATGTTTAAAAGAACTTGAATAGCATCGGGATGTCGTTCATTTGCGAAAGGTGTATTTAAAGGAACCGATCGTCCACCAGCTTTGTAATTTGCAAAGTCACGCGATATTAAATTAATAGCATCTTCAACGAGCATATTTCTATGTTCTATATAAAAGAATAGTTATATTAATATTATGAGTTGGAAATTTTAATGACATTATCAAAAAATCTACCTTGGGGTAAACCATGTAGAATGTTTAAAGTTAAGGAATGGTGTTCTTGATTAATAGGTGTAACTACAACTGCATATAAGCATCCACGGCTTGCAATGTTTCCTAAAACTCTACTTAGAAGAACATCTTCATTTGGAAATAACAAATCAACTGTTAATCCAATTTTTTTCAACCTCATTTCAATACTTTCAGCATATTCCCTATTTGGAAAAATAAGTTATAAAAATACTCAATAATTATAAAATAAAATTATTATTTTTACACTTACGTTAATGCTTTGTTAACAACAATGATTTCACAGTCATTCTTTTCAGTTGTTACATTTGAGTATTCATTTGATGTGCTTGTATTACTATTGGATAAATGTAAAACAAAAACATGTTGACATTAATAACAATCTTCATAAAAAAATACAACTTTAAAGAACTTTAACTTACTTAAAACTCATATTCATATCTCTAGGAGTAGAATTTTTAAAATCTTCATAACGATTATTGCTGTCATTGAATGAATCTCTGCCAAAATTATTGCCTCTTAATCTATCTCCTTGTTTATGATCCCAATCTCTACCAACTTTATCATCTAATCGAGCACCTCTATTAATTGGACTGCGATCTCTAAAGTTATTTCCTCCTGAATTATCTCGATTTTTATTTCGATTTTTTCCACCTCTGGTACCTCTTGGTCGACCACTTCCACCACTATTCATACCACCTCCTCCACCACCACTTTGATTCTGGTTATTTGCATTACGATTTTGATTTCCACCAGATCTATTTTGATTTCCACCTGGTCCAAATTGATTGCCACCTCTGCTTTGATTAAACTGGTCACCACCACTCCTATTCTGATTATTTGAATTAAAATTATTTCCTTTACTTTGCAATATATTGTTAAACTGATCATTTCCATTGTTTCGATTTTGATTTCCAAATTGATCATTTACATTATCTCTATTCTGATTTCCATCTCCAAATTGATCGTTTCCACCACCCCGAATTTGCATGTTATTTCCTTTTTGACTGTCATTTAGCTGTGGATCACATCCAAAACTTTGATTTGTATTGAAATTTGAATTTCCTTCATAATTCTGGTTTCCACTATTAAAAGGATCATTTCCAGCATTAAAGTGATTATTGCCAGAATTAAATTGATTATTAGATCCTCCTAATTGTTTTCCTGTACCTCCACCACCACCACTGGATTGATTATCTTTTTTTGCTGGTCTGACATCTATTTAAAGAAATATATGATAAAATGTGTTAATATACATTATTTTAACAATAAAACATTAATTAGCACAATAGTATTCCTAAGTATAAGTATACAAATAAGATAAGATCCATTAATGACAATACCTATTCTTCTGCCTTTGAACATTGCACCATCCTCATTTTGAATAGCTTTCTGAGCAGATTGTTCTTCTTCAAACTGAACAAAGCCAAAACCTCGACTTATCAAAGAACCAATAACTGTCCCATATTTTGAAAAATGTTCTTCCAACTCAAGTTTAGTCATATCATCAGTTTGTAAATGACCCACAAATATACGACTACTTACAGTAGCAGGATCCTTTAAAAGTCGTATACTCATTGCGAACTAACGTGGTTTTCGCAAATAATTCTTTTCAAAAGAAAGTATTTGTAAAATAATAATACCGATAACACTCAAATAATAAAAACTGAGGTTATGTTAAAATGCTGACGTTTACTTCTTCATCTACTTCATTTAGATATATTTTAATCGACACAAGTATAATAGTAGTATATAACAGTGAAAAGTTTTCATTTACTTTTTACTCTGTTTCCAGTTGTTACAAAGTACTAATATTGATGAAATGATATTGGTTTGAAAACAGGATTTTTCAATCAACAATTGAAACCTGAATGGTTTTCATATGATGGCGTGCGCATACTAAATTTATTCATTAAGTATGTTCTGTTTTCGTACATACAGAAGAACATTAAACCTTCTTCATGTTTTCAATCATTAAAGGATATATTTTCATTAGATATAACCATGCATAGAAAACCGCCGTTTGAAAACACTCCTTAAGATTATATAAAGAGAGACAACTCTTCATTGACAAATTCCTTGTTTCAATAAAAAATCACGTAGTACGTTAGTTCTTATTACATTCCCTATAAAACAGGTACGCATCGTTGACGAACAGATCAAATTGTATTCAGTTTTATGAAACAAATCGAATGCTGAATCTACTTTAAGATTACCACAAACTGCGAAACAATAAAGAAGGATATATTTTTCAGCGCCATCTTGCCTCGTAACTTCTAATTCGTCAGTGCCTGTGAATGGACTTGTCATAAGTGTTTTATGTTATTTTGTTTCTTATTTCCGTTGAAATTAGTGCATTAAATTTGCAGTATATATTACGGTGAGTAAAAAGTTCTATAGAAGCACAAATAAATTTACAGAAACAGATTGTCATTAGTACATAACTACAAGTGGTATAGTTCGTAGAATAAAAAAGTGCAAGTTTGATTCTGTTTCGATAGTATAATAGTGTTCTTAGATATTTTAATCATAATGTATTCTTTACTTAATCCATTTCCTTTATTTCATTCTATGTTAACCTGTATATGAAACGGATTGAAAAAATACAGTATTACGAAGTCACGCCCGAGCATGAGAAAGCATAGGTAGTTTCGAAATTGACATATCACGTATTTTCATGGATTAATCTTGCACCTAAGCCAGTGTACGTATATCTATTGTGTTAGTTATATCTGGAAGACAACACATAGTGTACTTATTTCGCGACATTGTTCTTTTAAATCTATTCGAAAGAATCATTTAATATTCGTGTAGCGTATGATTGTCATTTGAACACATATGTATGTCGATGTCTCTAGCAATTTAAGCTTTCAAATGATAGAAGGAACAATACAATAAAGAGTATTTTTTAATCGATGAAAAAATAATTTATTTAAATTTAAATAAAACAGGAAAGATATATTGAACTGTCATGTCTAACGTTAATATTTATAAAAATATTGTCATTGCAATATCAATACCTTTTTAGGTATAATATTATGATAAATATATTTTTCACATTTTGGGTTTTACTAAGCAGATTTGTTTTCCTTAGTTTAAATTGGCTAAAAATAAGAAATTATAAGAAAAAAAAAAAAAACAGAAATCAATAGTTTCATGGTCATTAATAGATATAATATGTTTTAACTGTCTTAAGGAAACCATATGATGATAATCCTAAGCACACATAATATATAAATAATTCTTTTAATGTATATTATAGTGTTAACCAATTGTTTTATAAGCAAAATTTAATTCTGTTTGATGTAATCATACAGAATATTTTAAATAATCGTATTGATGACATTTTCCTTATAAAACCTTATTGTATGTATGTGATGATAAGATAAGATATAAACATAATGACATTCAGTGAAAGATAAAGATATTTCTTTGCTTTTCAGTTTAATAACACGGCTTTTTTGAAGGAAAATTTGAATCCTCCATTCTATCAATGTAAGTAATTTTATTTCATTTACTATTGCATGCAGCCTATTATTTTTTAAGACAGTAGTTTGGTTTAAATTCTTTTTTCTTTTAATATAAGAACTTCTACTTCTATAATTTCTATTTTAATTTCTTTTATTAAGATGCTTGCAAGAGATATTATTCTTAAAAAGAAAAGTAGTTTCAATTATTAATCAAATACTTCATATCTTCAAAATAATTGAATAAATATTATTAATATTGCACAAAAACTGCAACTCTGATTTCTTGTCAGAATGCTTTATAAAAAGGGCATGGCTTATATCCAAAAGCCTGTGACAGTTTTAGATGTAAAAAATACAGATCATGAAAATCTGAAATTTTATTTAGTTTTATAATTAATACAAAATGTTATTTTTTTCTTTTTTTCATAATTGCTATTTATAAAGGAATTGAGTAAGTTCATAAATTTTTAATCCGATATTTTTTTCTTTTACAAGATTGCTTTCAATAAAGTCAAATATTTGAATATATGGTATAGTATTTTACAGGTGGTAATATTTTCCTCTATAGTTAAAAGAAATATTTCCTTTAAATTTATCTCATTGTTATATATTGTCTCCTTTTTATATTGTTAGCAATAATATTATTAATTACTCATAGAGTACATTTCTATAAAACTTCTGTTATACCCTGTACATAATAGTTAAAAAAAAATGTATAGCTAAAAGAAAGTGTATTTTGTATGTTTATTATCATGAGTTGTGCCTATTTAGTTCATAAGCAATTTTTGAATATGCTATTTTTTGATTATAGTACAAAACCTAGTGGTGTATTAAACTGCTATATATATTTAATTTAGATTCATATGCTTATAACATATATTGCATTAGAAAAATAAAGAATGCAGTATTCTGTGCAATATTTATTTGCATAATAATTAGTAATGTCATTAAAGTTATATTCAAAATATACTGAGTTAATTGTATTATCATTTATATATTAAATAAAAATTCATTCATCATTGACAGGTAAATGTGACAAATGTTTCTTATTTATTTATTGAACTTAATAGTCTAGGATTTTATTGTGATTCAAAAAGTGTTTGGAAGTTTTCTATATTTGTGGACAAGAAGTAGCTTCATCAACGACCCCAGCCATATTTCATATGCCAACAATGGCTATGCAGAAGGTAAATTTCAAAAACACAGTTAACAAAATAACAATTGTTAATACTTTACTAATCAATTATATTGTTAGAAAATGTTTAAAGAACAAATAATGTAGATAAATGTTTTGCAAACTACATTAATAAATGATATACAGGGTGTTGATAGAAATAATGTATGTAACTTTACAAAAGGATAAATGTTAAAAAATTATATAAAAAATACAATTTCTTACTGTATATGATCCTAATATTCAAAGATCTTTTTAACGTATTTCTTATAATTTATAAATTTAAAAAATAATTATAATGATATAACATCCTGTATATATATGAAAATACAAGGATTATAGTGTTTAGTAATACAATTTTTGCACATACTTGAAATCATTCATGTTTTATTTTTTGCAAAATTATGTAATAATAATAAGTTTTGCACATTATGCAAGTCAGTATTGCATTAAATATTATTTTTAAAAAAAGTTATTAATGTTAAGTTTATTATAAACAAATTTTTTAATGTTTCTTGTAAGGAAATGTGACAGGCTGTGGTAAAAATTTTCTTTTAAAAATGTTTATCATGATAATACAAATTACAATTTAATGTATATGAATACATAATATAAAATGTACTGATTTAGTTGAAACTTTTTATCTTCTATACACATTTATATAGGCACATCTCAAAAGAAATTAATCTGCTTTAGAGCTTTATATATACATACATATATGTGTATATTTATTTTGTTGCATTATTTTATAACATTTTGTTTCGTATATAATTTGCAAATTATATAATAATGCCATATTTAAAGAAAAGAACAACACTAAAAAGGATTTTTTTACTTTTGTATCAATCACACTTTTATTTTAGCTATTTTCATCCATCTTACTACTAACAAAATAGAAAGTAGTAATATGTTGAATTGGTAAAAGTAGAGTAATATAAGAACCTTACAATGAGTTTTCTATTTTCTTAACTAATGCATATGTAGTCGCATGGCTTTGGTATGAAATGATTGCCCATATTTATTATCACTTTTTTTCTAAAATGGTTTTCTTAAAATAAATGTAACCAAATTTGTATTTTAATTGCATTGAAAATTATTAGTATATATTAAATTTAAGGAACATAAATACTAATGTATGTGATGATAAATATGGGTTTTTAGGAGAAATAGGAATATTACTATCTGCTTATAATATACAGTGGTAATTTTTTAGATGAGAAGACAAGGTCAAGACGTTATGCAGGTGAATTTAGCAGGAATTAGGCGAGATATTGTTAACCTTGCTCACAACTATAGCAATGCTCAGGTAATTAAACAATATTTAACTTTTTTATATTCATTTGATACTATTATTACACATATTAGAAATAAAACATTTATTACATGTGTAGAAAGCTGTACGCAAAGCCACCAGCAATGATCCTTGGGGTCCAAGTAGTACACTTATGGCAGAAATTGCTGATTTAACATATAATGTTGTGGCTTTTACTGAAATTATGCAAATGTTATGGAAAAGATTAAATGATCATGGTAAAAATTGGCGACATGTGTACAAAGCTTTAGTTCTTTTAGAATATCTTATTAAAACAGGCACAGAAAAAGTTGCACAGCAATGTAAAGAAAATATTTTTGCCATCCAAACGTTGAAAGGTAAATAATTTTGTTTTCTATAACATAAAATTTAATAGAAAATATTGACAGCTTATAAAGTTAAGGTCTATTTTTTATTTAGATTTCCAGTATATGGAAGGATCTAAGGATCAAGGAGTGAATGTTAGAGAAAAAGCAAAGCAACTAGTGGCCTTATTAAAAGATGATGAAAGATTAAGAAATGAAAGAGCTAGAGCATTGAAAGCAAAAGAAAGATTTGCACAATCAGTTAGTGGATTTGGTAGTGATGGACTGGATACTATGTCACCTGTAAGCAGTGATGTAAGTATTCATATGATCTTTATATTAATATAAAAATAAAAAAATTTAATAACACCAAAATTTATTTAAAATATTATTGTTTTTTGGTGTTTAGTTTCAAGATTGGGAACCATGTCGTCTAGGATCTGAAACTACAACTAGACGTAAGAGATATAAATATTTATTAAATGCTTATATATTATAATTTTTTTTGCATAATATATGTATTTGTGCATATGTTATTTCCTATTATATTTCGTTTAATAATATGATTATAGCTGAATTGGAGGCTGCAAGACCACAAACGGTAGGTGAGGAAGAACTACAGCTACAATTAGCTTTGGCAATGTCGAGAGAAGAAGCAGAACAGGAAGAGCAAAGAAGACGTAGTGATGATGTCAGATTGCAATTAGCTCTTAGTCAAAGTCAGCAAGATTTTAAGTTAGTAGAAATTATTTTATTTTTAAATAGTTTTTTGGCTATCATATAGTCCATTTCGTTTTTGCTTAAAGATATACATTAATTTCAGAGCACCTCAAACTGAGAAACAAAGTCATATGTTAGATTTACTGGATGTAAACTTAGAAGAAGCATGTGGATATAATGTAAAAACTGATCCTTGGGGCATACCAATTACACCGCCTCCACCCAGACCTCAAGTATGTAATTTAAGATCTAGTTAAATTTACACATTTGCTTATTGCATGATAAACACGGTATTGCATACCTTTTGCATGTTATACAACAGTCTTTGGATTTATCTCAATGTAATTTGTATAAGGTAGGTTTGAATAACGCAATTAACATTGCGTTTATAAGGAGCAGTGTAAATGTACTCAAAATTTACTGAGTGTTTTGTTTAAAATTTATGTACTTTTTTATTGTATAGCCACAAAACGATCCATGGAGTGCTCCTACAGCAAACAGTACATCATCTGCAATAGATCCATGGACTCCTGTTCCAGCGCAAAGACCGAGTAAGATTTGTAGAAAAAATTGCTAAACTACTAAAATTCAAATCACCTTTATTTTATCCATAATTAATTTATAATTCAATTCAGCTGCTACAATTGATTCGTGGCGAGCACCTCCATCATCGCCTGTAACAGTTACAACTTCACCTAGCACAGACCCTTGGTCTCCAATACCTTCTGGTACTACTACTACTACTACAACTACTGAAGCTGATACAAATAAAAAACAGGTAGGATATTTGTTGTTTTAACTATTTATCAATATATGTATAATGAATTAATGTGCTTCTTTTAAATTATTTAGGTTAGCCGGGAAGGTTTGACATCCGCTTCTCCATCTTTTAACAATCCAACCTTAACACAAAACATTGGTTTCGCGGCACAATCGCCGCAAAACATAGGCTTCAATTTGCCTACAACTTCAAATGCTACATTTAATACAACTAGTAACGGTTTCAACGGTACTGGCCCTAGTCTTAACAATTTCTCTATTGGAAATCAGAATAGCACTACAGCCACTCCACTAAGCGATTTAGATGAATTTGATATAATTACTAACAGAAATAAGCCTGGATCTAGTCTGCAAACTACAAATAATGGTATTTATTAATGAGTTTAATTATTTTGTTAGCTACATTAATTATTTTATTTTTTTAAATTAATTGCAGTAAGTACACTATCACCTGATCCATTTGAATTGGGGAGCATAGCTGAAACTCTTCCCACTAGTACAGGAGCTGTTAAGAAAACACCACAGTCGTTCCTTGGAGAGAACTCTGCTCTTGTTAATCTTGATAATCTTGTCAGTACTTCTACGATCAAACCATCGACGCCTACACCTACAGGTAATGTGTTGTCAAATATAATTTTTTCTATACCATACAAAATTTAAAGATATTATTTTAAGATACAAATACTGAAATCTACATATAAAACTTATTATATGCATATAACATTGTTTTATAAAAATATGAAATTATTATGAGTAGATTAAATAATTGTGATTTTAATCGGGTATACTTAAAATCCTATAAAAACAAATAATGCATTACATTATTTGTAATATATTTTGTCTGCAAAATAGCGTTTCATTGGAAATAAATTCGTGAGTACTTTTAAAGTGATCAACAATCTTGCATGAATGCATGATTTGAACATTATGATATTGAAGTTATATTTTGTATGGATTACATTTTCAGCGAAATGTGATGGTATACTATGATGATATGATATTATCATAATGATCTATATTGTGAAAGAGAAATTTTCATTATTTTTTCGAGTACAGCTTAACACGTTCCGTGCAGTATCGTTTGTATCTTACGTTTCATTTGACAAAGTGTTAGAAATAAAAATGATTGTGTTTACATTTTTAATTTTATTGTATCTGTATCTAACAATGATTAAAAACTGAAACACATGGCATGGAATATGTTAACTGATATGATATTAATGCAGCGTATAATGATACTAATAAAAATTTACAGCAACCATGTCATACTCAGCAAATCCGTTTGCGACGGCAACACCACCACCCCGTCCTTCAATTAATCAGATTCGACAAGATCCTTGGGCAGCGAATACAACTACTACAGCGAATCCGTTCCTCTCGTAGCTTGGTGATAATTATTGAAGGTGTCAGTCGAAAATCAAGAGCACTGTGGTCTAAAAAGTATTCGAGATTTTTAGTGGTAACCCTGTACGGTATAAGTTTCTGGCTCGAAATAAAAGTAGCCTTATTTCAAGGTATAAATGACAAATAGATGAAAGAGGATGTCTAATCAAAGCGAAATATTTATTACAAACATTTTAATTTTACTTTTCTGATCTTAATCGGTGACAAAGAAAAGCTTGAAAAAAGTTCACTATTGTAACCTCCTTAATTCATTTGGACTGATGATAAAAATTCTGCCAGGACACAGTTAACATTAACATTTGGTACTATGTAATAGTTGAAAAGTCTATTTATTTCCATTTATTTCCATTTCTCTTTACTGTTTAAAAGTAATTGTGTCCACTATAATTTTATTATTTGTATTTTATTGCGTACTAACAATGAAGGAGGAATTATCTAAAAAGAGAAGGTAATATATAATACATGAAATAAAAGGTTAAAAAATAAATCATATTTCAATTTCGAATATTTAAGCGCTCCCAAGGTATAACTAAATTTTATAAGAACCTTTTCCATTTGTAGTTTATTTTTAAAGTGCAACACGAATTGATAATAGAAAATCATTCGATAAGATTTTCATTGTGCTGTAGATTATAAATGTTGAGATCACGATCATTTCCTTTGTTTTATATTTATATACATGCTTTTCTACAGCTAACGAGATCGTGAGACTGTAATCGTGATTTGCAGAAGTATGTTATATCGAACAGGGTTCTTCAATTTATGTTATACGCTTAGTGTGACGTGCATTGTGGTTCGTAAAAATATTCGTGTCATAGCATGCCTTTTATGACTAATACTCATCTTGCAAAAAGAGATGTGTATGTTAGTAATACAATGTCTTTTGCTAATTGATTACTTTATTTGATAACATCTTGGATTACTTGCAGATGAGACAGTTCAACAGTTTTATGACTGCAAAAGTAATTATATCATCTTCTAATGTCGTTAAAGTACATACAAATGTACAGGTTGAATTTAGTTATGAAATTTTATGCATTTGGTTTGGATGATTATTGAAGATATTTGCATAGGCTTCATGCACTACAGAAAACCAAACACAGCCGTAGCTAATATGCATTTTCCTATCAATGATAAATCGGTGCGTTTTACTGTTTCACGGGGATTTATTATCAACACGTAATGTTTATGTTGGTTTTTATAGATGGCTTAGAAATTTCCTAAAGAAATTCTCTAACGCGGTGTCTTTGTTCATTCGACTGTCAAATTTAATGAACCAACATGATCTGATAATGAACGGTAGTGTGATGTGCATTACCTTTCTTTGTATGCAAAACAGTTTACAATTGTACCTTGATTTATATAAAGAAAAAAATTGTAAATACGTTACAGCATATCGTTCCCCAATTGTCAAGTCTTTTCCTTCAATATGTAGAATATTCTAAATAAAATTTGAAAATGTATTTTAACACCATTACTAGTTATTTCTTAGTTTTTGAGGAAATTATTGCTGAGTTTATTGTTTTATATATTGTGAATATTTCTTACATTTATGACTATCACAGTGACTTTATAAAGGAAGATACGACTCGCTCCGTTAACATGATAGTTGATAGATAATACATATTTATTAGTAACTTTTAAAAAAAAGTTGCTTTACTGATGGTCATAATTCCAGCTCAGCATTTCCTTTTTTAGAAATATCCATGCATTTTACAATTTTATACAAGGAAACGGTTTCGTACATATAACAATTGGCAAAGGGGAACTATATTTGTCTGCTTTTATTAAGTAAATTAGACATGAGTTGCACGATTAAAATTCTGTTAAGTAAATATTGCTTAAATAATTCCATTGTACTATTCTTCGTTAAATTAATAATTTTTGTTTCATTATGCATTTTCAACATTCTTGCTTGTATAATTGAAATTGTATATTTAATGCGTATTTATCCGAATGTTCGCGAAATGATGAAGTTAGAGTTACATGATAGTATTTAAGTCACTTAATTCAAAATTTGAAACACATTAACTTAATAAGCTATATTCACTGCTTTTATAGAAAAAGCATTGTTTATTGTGTTTATTGAATGTAATTCCTTAATATTATTATATGCTTTTGAGTCTTTTCTTTCAATATATTGAATGAATAAGACAGTTTTGTAACATATCAAAGAAACTATTTTATTTTTCTATATATGTATATGATACAATGCACCAGCTTCATTTTTACGCGAACGATGGAACACTGTTTAGTTTTTAGAATTGGTGTAAGTGCAGAGAAAATTTAATGAACATTTATGAATGAAATTATATACTTTAGTAGATATTGTTATTATTATTAATATTATTATTATTATTATTATGCAAATAAATGTAAAAATTTTTAATTTTTCTGATTAAATATTTAATTTGAAGATCCCTTGTATATTTCTTTTTACGTAGTATATTCTAATCACTATATTAAAATGTTATTCTAAAACTAATGTTTAAACTTCAATGCACTTACAAAATTAAAGCAATACTAAGTTCGATACTATGGCAGTAAATAACTATTATGTTTTATATGTAGGGAAGAAGAAAGTACAAACAAAGTAAAATATTTGCACATGGAAATTATTTTATTTTAAAGAGATGCTTCAGTTGAAGAACTTATAGTAACTGGGGGAAGAAAATATGATCGAACTTGATTATGTAATTGTGCTATCTCAGGATCTTTCCTTTCGAGAGCTCTGAGTAATTGTGCAAATTGAACTGTACCTATAAATTGAAAAAGTAATAAATTATAACAAATAAATTGTAATTTGCTTCGATTATTAAATAGAAGTACTTAAATCCTTCACCTTCTCTGCCTTCTGGAAAACCATAATTTTTAATAACATCCATTTGAATTTGTACAACAATTGGATAAACAAACAGCATCATATTTAGCATTTCATTTCCGGAGTTTTCCTTAGCTTCTGCAAGTTTTTCAGTATTTTCTGGTGTTTTTAATGCTGTTAGAATATCAGATAAAACAGCTAAAAGTAATAACTCGTATTTACTAAAATTTTATATTAAAATGTATTGAATTGCAAACACCGTATTGTGATTTTTAAACACCTTTAGCAACTTCCGAAGTAAAGGGTGGTAGATCGGTCATGGCAGAAACAATTTTTTAGGATTTAAATGTACAACAAAATATATAAACTGCGTGTATACTGACTCACTTAGGAGAATAGGTTACAAATTGCAAAGTGTTTACTTTACGATACTGTACAATTCGAGAGACTATTTTATAAATATCAATACATCCCTTTTTTAAAGCAATTTCCTTTTCATTTTTAAAGCACTTATTACATATATCTTTCTATGTCACTATTCACGAAATATGTCAAAATATGTAAACAACACACTGACTCAAAGGATCCATAATAGATGTCGCTCATGACAAATTGATACTTGTCATTCAATTTAATGACATACTAAAGAAACAGAGAATCTGATATTGCAGAGAAAAGTATATAAGTGTCAAAGTTTTTTTAGTTATTATACAATGAAAATTTATTTTATAAAAAAAAGATATAGTCAGTTATTGCTACTTTAGTCCTGTAGTAGATAAACAAAATTTCTAAACGGTATTTCTTAAAGAATAGATAGCATAGCCCATAACCTATTTACGAAAATAAGTTGACAATATGTAAGTAACTTATAAACAGAGGACGATCTGTTGTTAGAAGACGTATTCATCGCCTTTCTATAAGTTAATATTTAGAATTGAAGTGTTAATATAAAAAATAATTATTGTAACTAAAACATCATTGAAAAAACGTTTAATAACAATAAGTTTGAAAAGAACTCCATAATGTGTACTAATCATGATCAAGCTTTTTTACAAGTTTTACAAGAAGAAAGAGATATTACAAACTTTTTAGATGCATTTTTTGGGTTTTTGTATAGATGGTAAATAAATTTATTGTAATATAAATAGATATATTATTTTCATGAAATGCATAACTTCAACATAAATACATAACTAAAACATTATTATAATTATTATTACTGTTATTATTATAGTACAGATTTTTACGTCGAATCGGGACCAGATCAAAAATTGGGATTCCCACCTGGTACAGTAGAAAAGCTCGTCTTACACAGTTTTCAGAAATGGATGAATATTTCTAAATTTCCTAGTGGAACAGATCCTCCAAACACTCAGGATATCATTAATCAAAGCAGCGATAAAGATCAAGATGAATCAATGACAATAGAAGAAGATTGTCTTATCCCACAAGTTGATCACGAAGTAGAAATTGAAACTTGCAAAGAGAGTCAAATTGCAAATCAATTTGATTATTTAATTGAAAGAAATAGGTCATCCGACAGTTATAATGGCGCGGCGAGGGAAAATTATACTTGGTCACAAACTATCAGTGATATCGACGTGCTGGTAAAATTACCTAGTTGCATAAGGACATCGAAAGATTTAAGAGTTCACCTTAATTCAAAAGAAATTAAAATAGAAGCAAGAACATCAAGAGTCGAACAGAATCAGGAAATAGAAGAATGCAGATATTTTATATGGACAACGATCTTTAAAGGAGAATTATGCTTTAAAATTCGGAAAGATGAGTCATTGTGGAGCATAGTACCTGGACAGCATATCAGCGTATGTTAATATACTTTGATAAATGGTATTTTGATTATACACGAATAAATTTCACGATATAACATTTTTTAAATTGCAGATTCATCTTGAAAAACTTTTTGCAAGATGGTGGGAAGCTTTGATTATTGGTGAACCAAAAATCGATTTGACCAAAATAGACTGTACAAGAAATTTGGATGAAATGGGATCAGAAGAACAAATGAAAGTTCAAGAATTAATGTGGAATCATCAACAAAAACTCCTGGGTAAACCAATTTCTGAACAGATTGTAAGCACGTGTAAAAAGCTAATTAACTTATTAATATAACTGCATAATAGAGATTTCTAACATAAAGTATCTTATGTGCAGAAAATGGAAAAGGTATTGAGAAAGGCATGGGATGCGAAAGGTTCTCCCTTTGAGGGTACTCCATATGATCCTTCATTAGTAAAATTTAACTGATACACTTGTATTACGCGTTTTTTATTTCATTAATTGTTATAAATTAATAAATAAAATTGTATATTAAGCTAAGACATTCTGTAAATATACGGCCATTTTTATTTAATTGCAGTTATACGTTAAATACCTTGTTTCATGAACGAAGATTTTATTATTAATAATTATTTATTTACTAAAACATATTCGATATGTTAAAAATATTTAAACAATTTCAAGACACATGTATTTTATAATAAATATGTTCTAATAATGTACTCGAGTATACTTACATATTATTTACAATAACAAATAATACATAATTCGTTCAAGTTTCTTGGATTCAAAGAAATAATCAAAGTTGATATTTGATTATTCGTGACAAAATTTCCGATGTTTGCATATTTACTATTATCGAATACATAAATACGGAAATTTAAAGCGATAAAAGGGCGAATTTTACGATAATACCAAGGCTGCCTAGAAAAGTAACAAGAAACAAGGAATTCACAATTTGTTGGTAAAATATACGGAATTCCACGCTTTTCCCTTGATGTTTGCATTGACTTTATCTCACCATGGTGGGATTGTTTAGTAAAGGAACAAGGAAGAAATGCTTTATGAAAGCAGACAGATAGCCACAGCGAAACTGTTCTCATTTTCTAGAATTCCTTCGACTTTCTTACATTCATGGCTGCTGCATTAATTGCTTTTAATGCCTGTTCAAATCCATACCTGATATAAACGTTCCTTACTACGAACATAAATTTTTACTTATCGCGATGAACTCGATATCGACACTTTCCATCAGTCACTGACTTCTTGAAACATTCGGTGGGATACCTTGTAAATATTTCCCGTCTGTGGCAACATCATGGAGCACAAAGAAATCGGTATATGCAGGCATTGAAATCTCCACGTAAAACTTCGAAAGAGAACCACGTTCCTCTCGATTAGTGCAACGGAGCCAGAAAACGTGCTCGACAATAGACAAATCCGTTTCCAGGGTCCCATCAATAGTACTCCTCCATTATTTCGAGGATTTAGCCGAAGGCGAATCCCTTAAGGCCCGAAGGAAGACGATTCGAAGCTGAGACGTAGCATAGAGGAACGCGGCGCGTTGAGCACCGCTGAAGGTAAAACACAGGTAATATACCTGCCCGAGGCTATATCCATCCCCACCTGGAGTCCGGTTCTCTCTCCTTGGTCGGCTCTCAGCTTTTCTCCAAGCTGAGTCGAGCCGTTAGTGTCGTTGTCGTAGGAGAGAATGGTAGTAATGTGTATCGCGGAGTATCGTGCACCCTGAAGGACGTCGTCTCGATCAAATTCAGCCATCTAATCGAAATCCTCGTCTCCTGGACCAATTCGTTCTGAACGGTTCGTGACCTGTTTCGTGATTCACTTTTTCACGGATGCTCGACGGTCTCGAGGACGACGTCGACTACCTGTTCCTCAGTATCGTAGCTCGCAGTAGTGCCGTGTGAGGTGAACGTAACGCACACCGGATTGGGGTCTAGCAGGAAAATCGACGGAAAATAGAGAAGAAAAAGAAGAAGAAGAAGAAGGAGAGGATACCAAGATGCCCTGTTCCGCGGTGACGCTGTCCCTCGCGACCATAACCGGTATCATTGCCACTGGCCTCCTGGCGATCGCCTTTTCCACGGACAACTGGCTCTACACCGAGGTCAAGCGCGCCCAAATCCAGGTTCGTAGGTCGAATTCGTTTTTACCAGATGTTCCATCCACGGACGCGAGTTCTTTTAGGGGCGAGAATTTAGGATGCCACGTAGTGCTCGTTTCTATCTCACACGTTCTCTGGGTAACCCCGTTATTTATCGAGTATCGCGCTTCGTTCTTCGTTCGTAGTCTGTACATTTTTTGCCCCGTTTCTTACCGAAAATATCACCTTTTACCATAATCGCCACGCGACTATCTCGACACTGTTTGTGCGCGATGACTTTTACACGCTCGTATGTAGGATACGATTTTCGAATGGCGCTGCGAGATATTTTCGTACTAGAAATACAGGTTTGCCCGTACCCGTATTGTATCATCCCGGATACAATCTGCAGCTGATACTCGTGGCGAATTTTCACGAATTCCAACGTGCAACGTCATCCTTGTGAAACGTCCATGGAAATTATTCCTTGTAATCTTTATCATCGTAACGAGCGTAGAAATTGCGCTACCAATTCCTAGTAACAAAGAAACACGAGGCGTGATTTAATTAATGGTACTTTGCATAGGGGACTTACGGTGAACGTGCTCGAACGTTGATTTATTATATGACCAATTCTCCAATTTTTAAGTAATTTTAGATATACACAGCGATTGCCAATGTTTTTAGGAAAATTTCGCTCAAATTTATTTCGTCTTCTCGGAAAATCTGCATGCGTCTTCTTGCCAAATCTCGTCACGGATCATGTGTAATATATTAAACGAATTGTTCGTGATCAGGATAAATTCGACGAAGAATCGGTTCTCTATTTCGGGAAAATGATTTCGTTCCTCGAGGAGCAAGACCGGAAGTGGAATCTCCTCGGCTTCCGTCGTCCTTGTCGCAGGTGAACGTTCGGGTCGAAGGTCAAGTTCATCCTCGAGGGCGTTGAGTGGCTGTCGAGTGGAAAATCTTCTCACGAATCTTTCATGAAATATTCCTCGAGGAAGCCGTATCGCATTTATGGCGGGCGATACCGTTCTTCCTGCGTGCAACTCGCTGCGTGAACTCCATTAAATCCTCCATCCTCCCGAGATCTCGAAAAATCTTACTTTTCAAACGAACATAATCATCTCGGAAGTTGGTTAACGAATTCTTACAGGATAAACAACTCGAAACATCCAGCTCTCGCTTCGTTTAACTTTAATTGCAGCCAAGTGCACAGGTATGCAACAGGATCGTCAGTGTTTGCTGGCGCTTTTCGTTTGTCACTTTGCTACGTCGAAGCAAATAATTTCAATCGTGCAGTACTTAATCTTCCGCGACGTACGATTATGAGTCTCGTGGAATTCCAGCTGACGAGATCTGGTGTTAATAGAGGCTGCGTCAGAGCAACGTCGTTTCACTTCGCGTACCAGACTGTAGTCCATCAGCAGTGATAAATCTCTCTATTCGGCGATCTTTGAAAAATTTTCAATCGCACGGAGTAAGTTTAGCTTCGTTGCTTTTCGCTCGTTCAGGAGTTAACAGGACTTTACGACAATAAGGAAGCTTGGTTGCCCGGAATTTCTTCGATTAAAAGGAGTAACAGGATGTCTTTGTATTATTTGCTTGACTTAACGCATTGTCCCCTTGAACTGAAACGAGTCTAGCTCATCGTGAACACTCTCGAGCAAACTGACAATGACGAGCTGCACTCGCCAGAAAAATCCTAGGACATTGATGCATCCACACCTGAAAGGGTCGTATTGGAATTAGCACAGGATGGTCTAGGAAAAGGATATACTCAATTCCTCTTAAAACTAAGAAAATTAAATTATCTACCTGAGCAGTGCTGAGTGTAAATAAATTGCAGTTCAAGGGGCCAATATGGCTGTCTCCATTTCTTTTCAATGTTTCGTATTAATTTTGACACTTGATAGAAATAACGGAAATAACGAGAAGTTTCTAACGCATAATCTTCCAGATATTCGTATCTAACAATAGCCAAAATTAAGTTTCGCTCGCATTGTTGACCACAAGATGAGATATCTTCGGTTGCAGAGAGCAAGTAAGTTCATCGATGGTACTCCGTGATACACGTCCTTCCTCCATACGTAATGAGACATATACCTCGCAGGACCAGGTGTATTTCCTTTTTCCGATGTGCTTGGTCCACGGCGAACAGGGATACCTCTGAAGGCGACGTCCTTTCGGTAGCTAGCTATTCCATGTCCGAATATTCGCCTTTGGCAACGAAAAACGAACAGGTTTCCGTGTCACGGCTGGATCGGTCTCGATCGCTGGAGCAATTCGATTTCGGCCACTCGCGTTTCTAGTCCGCGGTGTGTTTGGAACGATCGACATTCCGGGCCGCGCCCATTTTCAGAGCTTGTCGACTCGACAAGTTTTGCGTTTAGCCGTGTCGGAGAGCACGCAGCGGAGCGGCGCAATCGTATGCACTCTCCTTTATGGGAATCGACCGCGGATCATGGCGAGACGCAGGGATTTTTCTCTGAAACGCGCCGTGATTTCGTTCGTGTGCAGCTTTCCTTCGATTCTTTATTTGGTAGATAGGTAAAAGAAAAACGGCCGAGTCGCCACCGCGGAGAACTTTCTTGTAGGTTCGACGATGAACGAGAGTTGCCGAGGATGTGTTATTAATAATAATTCCTCCGGGAAATGCCACGGGACCGAGTTTCTGTTTGGTAGCAGATGAACTGGGCATGGTCTGTGTTATTTATCTTAATTGGCGAAGGTTAGAAATTTGCTTCTTTTTAGGATCTAGGTGTGTCTTGAGTTGCCACTGCTAAAAACTCGTCTAAGATTATTCTTAATAGCGTATTGCGGAGGAGGTGAAAGGTGAATATATTAATTCCCAATAATGTCATGTAACTTGGCAGTTACATATTCATGCGGTTGTCTATTTTCATTCTCGTTTGATTTGTTTAATGCCACTCTTTGGGCATACCATTTTAACGTCAGGTTGAATAGTACGTGCAAGTGTCTCACAGTTTATTTCATTTTACTGTAAATGAACGTAATTTTAGTTAAATAGGGTTAAAATAAAAGAAGAACTAGGACTTTCTTCTTGCTAGGCTTCAGGTGTTTTAAATTACCTGTGTTGAAATCTGATGAACAGTCTCGTGTACCCATCTATCGTCTATGAAGATTGACCTGTTGGAACACAAGGAAGCATTCTTGTGTCCACTTCCTTTTATCCGATGATTTTAATCGAGGACTTTATTGGTCCTGGAGAGAAATGGAAGAAATCGAGTCAATCGCAGATCGTTGCTTAAAGAGAATCAGCTTACTGGACCATGAAGAAGGCACTCACGGTCAAAAGACATCCATCGACACAAATATCCCCGTGATTTAGCACGGAGAAGCGGTCGAATCGCATACTCATCCTTGGACGACGTCCAAGAAGAAAAACTCGTCGCGATAGATCATTATGACACGAGGGATTTCTCAAATGGTCCATTCATTCGCGATCGTGCTACTCTTAATCCAAACTATGCGTTGCGGCTTATAATTTCACCTAATCTTCGACTTCCCAACTACAAGCTAACTCTGGAACAAGCAGATCGGTGAAAATCTCTGGTTTCAAATTTCCTATTTTTCCCAGTCGCTTGAAACATACAGCTGGTCATGCTAAAATTAATGCTGACTTTCATTTAGATAAAGGCGTAACTGTATACACCTATTCTTTTCCATTATTCCACTTCTATTGTTCCATTATTCATCATTCGCTATTCCATTTCTAAAACAAGACATGTATTTTGCTCTGAGATCTTAAAACTTTTGCATCTGTATTAATTAATAAATTAATCTAAACAGAACTTTGATTAAAAATCCAATTTAATAATTCCTATGTTTTCACATGATTCAGTGCTTTTGGATCTTTTACTCATAATTCACTATCATAATTATCAGCACGCACGGTGTTAATTCAATTATATTTCAAATAAATACCTTTGTGTATATATTTAAAATATAAATCTCGCATTCAGGTGTTAATTACAGCTAAATCTAGCGTTAATGTCGCATGATCAAAGTACACCTACTCGCTGCAAAGCGAACACGATCTTAGGTCCCTAAGGAAAGTACGTAAATTGAGGAAACCGCACTTTTATTCGTATTTTCAAAATCTCCAATTCATATCACGTTCGCTCGAAATAGCCTGTTAAACTCGTAGTTTAATTGCCAGTCGATTGCAGTTGAACATTCCACGGTATCGTTGCGATTTCCTCGCGGTAAGATCAGCAGAGCGCTCGATCGTGGCCGATAGAGAGGCGGCATGACGTACCGAGCTCTGTTATTTTCGCCAGCGTTCCGAGCGCGTTTACCTTGGCGATCGCAGCCGGTGAGCACGCATTAGAATAAAAATGTCGGCCTGCTCCCCCGTCACCGCCGACCAGAGGATCCGTACATACAGTTATGCTACTTGTACCATCTCCTCTTGGTCGGTGTAAATGATTATGGCCTCACGATCGCGCTGCTCGCAGTAATTTCCACGATCGGCAAGTTACGCCGTCATGCGCCACGGAATGCCTCTTTTCTCGAGAACTTATTTGGCTTTAGGAATCCCGTCGACCTTTGTGCTCGTTTCCCTTTCGTGATGTTCCACGCTTTACGCCTCTTTCGGTCGATCTTTGGTCGAGACCGATCACGAGTGGCCCGATATGGCTGTCTGCTAGGGTTCAGCTTTGGCGATGAGAATGATAAGAAATTCTCCTCTGCTTTTGGTATTACGGTGGTCGTTGATTTCGTTAATTGCCGATTAATCGACAATTAAGAACTGGATTGGTGGTTCAACGTGCTTCTCTGCTGGGATTCAGCTTGCAGAATAAGAGTGGCCCGACAGGGTTCTTCGTAGGATTGGATTGCGAGGAAGAGAAGATGAAATATCTTATCCCGGTTTTAGTATCGCGATGATTGCTGATGATTTGGTCTCTAGTCAATTGGTCGAAAGTTAAGAACGATTTGGAGTGGCTCAACGTGGGTCTCTGCTGGGGTTAGACTATGGAGATGAGAGATGAGAAATCCTCTTCTAGATTTAATATCGT